ACGAAAACAAGGACCTTGTTAAAACGCAATAAGACGAATTGACGCAGCATTCACTGAGATAAGAGGAAGAAACCTCTTTGGTTAACTTTGAAAACTCCCTGCGAATGGTTGATTCACCCTTGTACATGCCCTAGCCTCTTTAATATCCCTTAACCCTTTCGAGCCATTTAATCTCAGCAGCAAGGAGATTTCCCAAGGCCATCGTGATGAAAATCGCTAATGCAAATTCACTTAATCACGGGACCCTTTCTGACGAGCTACGAAACCACAACGATGGCATTGGTTACCCGCATTCTTGGTTTGCGTTCCCATTCAGACGACAATAATTTTTGTAACTTTCTCGTGGAAAACATCAAACAACATTTTTAGAAAATGTTAAGCTTCCGAGATTTTTAGTTGAACTCTGAATCGAGGCGATGATATTTTTTTGTCTCAAGAAAAGGAGATAATTTAACTTCTAAAAAAGAAAAAAAACGGAAAAATACTCGAAGCTTAAATTTTATAGTTCTGATATTAATTATTATTTTATATTTCTATATATAAAAAAAAAAAAAATTTTATAGTCCTGATATTAATTATTATTTTATATTTCTATATATATATAAAAAAAAAAAAAGAGACGAGTTTCACTTGCAGCGTATAAATATTTGAACTCGAGGATTAAAGTATTTACAAAGCTGCGAAGGAGTATAAAAACCTCGAATATTTTATAATGATATTTTTCGATTGTGATACAAAAGTCAAATGGTGAATTTCATACGTCACTTTTAACATGCATCGGAGCTTTTATAAAATATTATCGGAATTGGAAAAGTCGAATAAAAGTAATGTTGGAATTCCGATGCAAATATAGTAATCTGCACCGTAACATAAAAATGCTAAACGTATAGATTATTAGAAAGCTTTCGCTTTTGCATTTCGAAGTAATAGTTTTCGCTCTATTTTGATGAAATTAATCTCGTCATTTCCTTCAGATCACGTAACTTGATCGAAATTGGATATTTTATATATTATGAACCGACTATAAATATAGATACGGAATAAACATAAACAATAATCTGTTTTAAAAGTTAAGGAACTTTCGTTCGTAAAACTTTTTAACGAAAATTGTTCTTACGTCACAAATCCTGAAGGAGAGTAGATAAATAAACGTTCTTAAAAATAAAAGTTTCAGACAGAGTGGAACTTGTGAAATATAGAAACAAAAAATTTTCTATCGGACAATTTGTTCGTCAATATTAAAAGAAATCTCAATATTTGTAACAAATGCTGACACCGAATGCTATTGTGATGAATAATACTCGGATATAAAAATTGTTTTTCAATTAAATGTTCTAAAACAACTTGCTCCCGCGAAACTTTCATTTTACAGATTCTGAAATATCTGTACCATGGAAAGGCTGTTCAAAAAGTGTGACACGTTTTTTTTTTTCTAGAAAAATTCCACGAAAACAAATATTCTTTTACACAAAATATCACCAGCTCGAGCAGAAATTTTTTTTTTTTTAAAAAACGAAGAGAACCAATTTCGATCGTCACGATGTATTTTTATAATATCAGACCCAAAGTCACGAATGATTGTTTCACCATCCGACGATGTTTCTGTTTTTAATCAGATTTCGTTCTTTCACAATTTATCCGTGGGAGCAGCCGGTTTTTTCCGGTTCTCAGGATGATTGATTGAAAATCCACTGGAGAGCATTGAACTGTTTTTATACGGGCAAGAGAGAATCGCGATGAAAATCAACAAACAGCTGGACAGGTTGTGACACTCGTCAAGCCGCCATTTCACTAACCCGTCCACCGTCGGGTTCCCTCTAATCCCAGAAACTTTCAGCTTAATCTTCGTTTAAACTTGAACCGCCCAATTTCGAGCATTCGGCTTACCGAGGATTAATGTTTTCAAACGAGCTGAAGGGAACTTCCGGCACCGTAATTGAATGTTTTACGCAAACTGCGACGATCCTTGAACCCGACAAACAAGACATACTGTGGTTCTCCCGTGAAAAATCAATCGAACGATTATCATCCCAAATGCGATTACAATATTGACACAGACTTGTCATACAGCGATTTCTAAGCTCGTTCGGTACAAATAATGTTCGTTTAATCGATTCCGAGCATTCGACTTGATCGAACATTAATTAATTTTCAAACGAATTGAAGGAAGATTAACTTGTAATTAAATATTTTAGGAGAATTTAATCTGAAGGACAAAATATCTCCCATGAAAAAAAAAAAAAAATTGGACGATCATTGTCCCAAATGTAATTGTATATACGACATAGAGTCATTATTTAGTAATGATTTCTAATATTCAGTAGAAATAATAATTTAATCATTCAATGTAGTGTCGATAATTTTTCACCGAGTGTGAGAATACTTTTGTCCATCTTTGTGGATAAATTTTTCATTTGTGGGAAACTAGGAAAGACGGGAATGCGCGCAATGCACATAATATGCGAAAATATATAAAATATATTCAAAATAGAATATTTATCACAATATACATGAGCAGGGTGAACTTAAACGGCCAAACTGCAAAGACTTGATCTACTGATAAAAAAGGAAGAAAAATGTTATATAAAGTTGATCAGAAAAGTCTTGTTATAAATAAATATGTATAAAATACTATAAATATAAAACACTATGTGTAAAATTATGTATAATATTATGTAATAATACTATGTATAAAATAAGTAGCTATGAATTTTTCTTTACCATTTTTAGAAAACGCAAAGAATTAAGAACGTAATTTTGAAATTCAGCAAAATTCTTAACTTTACAGTGTTATTAATTCTATTATCCATCAATATCAAGCTTTGGTGAAAATTATTTTGATCGTATTATTATAATTAATGACACGAAATTGTTAGCACATGAAAAAAGAACGTACAAGTATTTAAACTGTCGTCTGTGCACTTTAATGGAAAATGTGTCGTTACTTACATATTTTATGTAACCAATATTTGTTCATAATTCTATAACAAAGCGTTTGCTGTCGAATTTTGTATACTACTTTATTCTTCTTTCTGTGCGTTGATTTGCATGAGCTATTTTTTAAATTTAATAAGCCGTTTGAGTTTGAGATACTCTGTATAATAAGAAAAAGCAAACTTCGTTCATATTTCATTTCATTAATTTATAAAAATGTATAAACATCTACGATTTACGAGAACGAACTGAAAATGTTATAGGAAATATGCAAATCGTTCTCAGGTATCATAACGACACTGTCAAAAAGCCATTCTTGTAAATATTTATTCAATAAACACATTGGTTCTTATCATTCTTACCTCGAGATAATACAATGATCCCATAATTTATTTCTTAAAATATACACATCAATTTCGCGCATCCACCGTCAAAATGTATGGCAGTTTTCCAATTCGTATTAATCACAAAATCAAAAACTAACATGTATTGACATATGTATTACTTTGAAACAATTATGAACTACAATATAAAACAAGTTGTTGATATTAAAATCTAAAATTAAAACCTTTTCTCTGTTCTATTGATATCAGAAAATGTTCAATACAGAGAAAATTCATTATACTTCACATTCTTTGTTATTTCATTCACATTCTTCCAAACTTGATTCTTTAAAAATTTCAGCATTCATTAATACTTCTTTTTGTAAATGTATTTTTATTGCGATGGTATTGTAAAAAGATAAATCTAATTTTATATGATAGATTGACTTTTGGGTTATTTTAATTAATGAAAGCAAATTCGTTTGATGAATAATTTTCTGAAAAGTAATTATCATAGAATGAGATTCAGTATAAGAAAATAAAGCTTGCAATAATAACAAATAATAATAATAATAATAATAATAATAACAACAACAAATAAAAGCTGGTAGTATTTTAGGTGAAAATCATTTTTTGTTTAAGAACTTTCTCTTGTTTTATTTTTAATATATATCTATTGACAAAGAAGTCACAATATTTGTTAAAAAGTTTACTTATTGATACTTGTTTCTCTTAATATATTTCCTTGCATTCTTAAAAATATTAAAAATATTAAAGATTTTTTTATATTTTAATATCTTGCATATGTGCAATTGCGAATTACGCGTAATTCATGTGTAATTTTTATTATGGATCTGATTAAAAATGATTAGAGTAACTTCACTTGCGACTTTTAACTTTATCGTATATGCTAGAAACTAATTCCACAGCGTGCAAATAACATTTTTCTATCTTTGATGAATAAAGAAAGATAAATAAAGATAAATAAAGAAAAGAAAAATAAATAGAAAAATTAAGAAAAGAAAAATAAGTAGAAAAATAAAGAAAATAAATAGAAAAGTAAAGAAAATAAACAGAAAAATAATGAAAATAAATAGAAAAATAAAGAAAAGAAAATAAATAAATAAAGAAAGACAAATAAAGAAAAAAAAAGTGAAACGACCAATTGATCGTAGAACGCCTTCGCACAGGATCCTCCTCAAACTCAAGGGGAGAAATCAAAATTGTTCAATTGGCGAGGTATTCTCGTGAATTAAAGATGATTGGAAAACTGTTCGACTGAAAATTGATTAGCTCTTCAGGGAGTATCGAAGCACAGACAAAGAAAGCTAATAATCCCGAGCAAATATCCTTCGCGAAGCACCAAATTTGCTCCAGCTTACGATCTAATTACCGACAGGCTGAAGAGCGCAGCTGGCACGGAACGTGCTAAAATAAAATTAAAAGTTGCGACTCCATCAGACTCATTAATCTGCGTCCTGTGGAGCCTGAGCATCGTCGGATCGCTTTCCGAGGATGCAGTTGCCACAACAAGACTCGACGAAAGCCATGACAGAGAATGGCAGGGGACGGGGGAGAAGAAGAAGAAGAAGCAGGAGGAGGAGGAAGTGATAAGGAGGAAGAGGCTGTGCAATCCGTGGGACGATAAATTTCAAACAGTTTTAAAGGGGTATCGCGATCGATCTGTTAAAGTTTGAAGAAAGTTAGCGCAAAGGTATAGTAAGGGGAACGATCATTACTCACCGCTTGGCCAGAACCTATTGGCGTTGGCCGCCTCTAAAAATCGATCACCCTCCTTAAATAGAAAGTGATCGTCTATCAGTTGTTGTTGCGTCTCTTTGTCCATCGAGACCAGACTGTAATAAGTCCCTTTCAGTTCGCCCTCTAACGAGTTTAAGGCCTGCAGTATCTGAAAGAGGAACAGAAGAAAGAAGGGAGATGGGAGACAAGAGAAAGATTCGACTGCGTAAACAGATTAGAAGAGACATTTCCAACATTTTTTCTATGGAAATTCCATACAGTCGTGTTTGTTCAAGCTGTCTAGTCGACAACAAAGCGGATAAAACTCAATTAGAGAAAGCAATTACATGCCTTAACGAGGGAATTTTTTCGAGCTAGGGGAATCAACTTAGCTACGGTGGATCAAAAAAGTATTGGAACAATTTTCTCGTAATAATTCTTGCGGGAACAAATGATACGTTAATAAAATCTGTTTCTGTAAATAGCAGTGTGCACAGCTTTCAATAGTAATACGTGTAATATAAAAATTCAAGAATTAAAAATATTATTAATGATTTAAAGAAAATCTCTTTTGATGTTGACACTTCATTCGATAACATTAACAACACGTTTATTACAAAATAGTTTGTCATTTTTTCAATAATATTTCGCCGTTAAATTCATGGAACTACAAATGTATTGGAATTACAAATGGAATTACAAATATAGTAAAATTGCAAATGCACTTGAATTACAAATGTGTTATATCTTTTCAATTCCCAAATGTTTTTATTTCTTGTACTATTATAGCTCATTACTGGAAATTCTTACTGTGCACGTTACATTTGTGTGTAGTAAATTTGTGGAAAACTATAACTTGCTAATATATTATTTGTTTTAACAAATATATCACCAAAAAAACTAGGTGTGCCAATATTTTTTTGCAAGGACCATAACTATTATAACCAGAATAAAAAAAGTTACATAATAACAATTATATTTTTTTATTTGTTATTTATATTTATATTTTTATATATTTATATTTTGTTTATTGTCATTTATTTCCTGTTTACATATTTCTAAAATATCTTTGATTGCAAATAAACAATTATAAGTGGTCAACGAATTTTTTCGTTACCAATAACTATTATTGATGAGAAAAATTTATTTCGATTAATTGTAACAGTTATCGATGAGACACATTCTCTTTGCTCACGATAATTATCGACAAGGGAAATTTATTTCAATTCTTTTTCTTCATTAATTTCGGCCAATTTTTGTATTAAAAAGTAACTTGAAATTGGTTTTTAAAATGTTACGGTTGCGGATGAATGCAAAATAATACTTTACACTATTGCACTATTATGTAATAATAATATTATATAATAATATTTATAATATTATATACTAATATTATATAATAATATTTTACACTATTTTTATAATATTATATAATAATATTTATAATATTATATACTAATATTATACAATAATATTTTACACTATTATGAGCAATCAAAATAAATTTTCCTCATCGATGATTATTATAAGCAACCGAAATAGAATTCCCCTATAATTGATTGTCAGCTACGAAAAAAATTTTCGGCCACTTGTAATTGTCATTTGTAATCAAAATGTTTAATTCTTTTAATCGTGCGGTTTTTCTTTGAAAAATCATCTTTACATTTTGAGATTAATATATCAACTTAAATAGAGTTTAGAATTAGTTTCAGTTACTGATCCTTTTCATAAAAATAACTTATTTTTGGTCTCTGATTTTTTGACCCATTTTTTTTATACATACACATTGTATGCGTTGGTTTAATTCTTTTAATAGACAAATCAGCCATAAACCGTAAAGATATCGACGTTGTTCCTGTATTCCTCCATTTTCCTTTTTATGTTTTCTTTCCTTACGCTTCTTTTTTTTGTTAATATCTATTTTTTCCATTTTCTTTTTTATTTTTTACTCGTTCGTTGATACGTAACACATTGATAAATTAGATATATTGTACTAACTGAAGGAGTTCACTTTGTTTTTTTATTTTTGTGCCTGTTTAATAAGCAGAATTAGATAAAAAATAAATTTGGAGAGGAATCTCGTTTATAGATACAGAAATAAAAGAAAACTTAATTTTGCTATTAAGTCTTATTGTTTGTATCTTGTATCTTTATTGTATCTTACGTCAATTTAGAATATAATGTTATGAAAGCAGGTAAATACTTTTAATTTGTAAAATCGAATTCGTGTTCTGTCTGTTTTCTTCTCAGTGTAAAAATTCTAAAAATTTATTTCAAAATATTCAACAATAAAACTACCTACTAAACTGTTCTTTCCTCAACATTTTATATCGCTGAAAAATCTATCCATGCTACAAATACTACAACTAGTCGTTCAATATATCCATCTTCTTGCTTTATATGAAGTAGTAACATATGAAATGTCCGTTAGGACGTTTCAGGTTATTCATCTACAGTATCAAAGAATACATTATTTGTCGATATAGTTTACGTAAAATTGAATGGGTATCTATGTTCTTTTATTTCGTACACTTTTTGTTTGAAATATTGAAATATTGAATAGTAGCTTGACATAAAGCTTTTTCATTGGCATAATGAATAAATAAATGGATAAAATTTATGTAATTCTCATTCTATAACTAAATTCAAATATTCATATTCAGTTTTTTAATACTACCCTAAATTGTTAATTTTCTTTTTTACCTAGCAATATCTAGCTCTTAAAAATGAAAAACGAAGTAAATTTGCAAAAATTTACAAAATCCAACGTGACACAATGACAAAACTACACAGACCCTAACGATGATTTCGAAACTTACATCAATGAAATCGGCAACTGATTCTTTTTGTTTTTAAACAAATTATAATTCAAACTGATATATTTTGTATAAAAAAATATCTGTTTTTGGGAAATTTTTTATACAGAAGGAAGTGTTACACTTAAAAACACTTTTGAACAGTGTTCTCATGGAACTTTAGAATTTGTACGATAAAAGTTCTATGAAAAGTTATTTTAAAAATTTTAGAAGTTATTCTAAAAGTTATTTTACAAAATTTAATTAAAAATCCATTTTTATATTCGAGTACTATTCATTCAATAGCGTTCGGTAAAAGTGTTACAAACATCGAGGTTTTTTTAATATCGATGAACAAATTTTTAACATTTTCATTTTTATGTTTTACAAATTTTACTCTGTCTGAAACTTTTATCTTTAAGAACATTTATTTATCTGTTCCCATCGGGAACTTTGTAAAAGCATTTTTCGAAAAAGTTCTGCGATCCATGTTTCAAACAGAACCCGTTCAAAAGTTTCCTGATCTTTTCGATCTTCATATAAAACAGCATTATTGTTTACTTGTATTCCGTATTATCTATATTTATAGTCAGTTCAAAATCTCGACTGATACAATCATCTATTTTCGAAATTTTCAAAATCTCGACACGATATACTACGCAACTGTTACCTACATTTTTCATTCTTTGTTCCACGGATACAGGCTCCGAGAGAAAAAGCCACTGAAAAAAAAAAAGATTCTCTTCTACCACGCGAAACGAAAAGTCCAAAGGCTCACAGATTTTTCTTTCAGCGGCTGTGCCACAGTTAAAAAACCCCAGATACGACTCTGTTCATATTACAATGGGCCTTTCGATTCTATCGATATATATATATATATACCTTCGCCTCCAAGTCTATATAGTGAGCCTCAGTCATGGTGGGATTTAACGGATATCCGTTGACCGATCTGGCGCAACGAATCCTCGTCGAGATCACGAACTGTCCCTCGGGATCGAGGTTTCCTAGCTGCTCTGGTTCACCCCAATCCAAGTCCGGGTGAACGTCGTCCGACGTGAAATTAATATGATACTCTTCGATCACTGGGTTGAACAGGGCTGAGAACACGTCGTAAGCGTGCTGATCGGGTGCGTACAAACCAATGCCGGAGTCTGGGTTCTTCAAACCCGATTGGATCACGTCCATCAAAGTGGAGCCAGAGTTGGTTACGCGTGTCTTCAGCGCATCGAACACCTGCTGCGTTAAGTGTTTCTTCAGCAGCGATTTGCTGTCGATTTTGGCAAATTCTGCGTAGGCCTGCTCGAGAGCCTTCACACGTTCGTCGTTCGGATTCATGAAGCCCGGCCTTGCTTTCTTCTCGCAGGCGCACAGCCGTTTGTCGCACATCTTGCGTCAAGGTTGGAGAAAGATAATGATGGATTTGGTTCTGAAAATGGTTTCAGGAATTGAGAATCAGGAGCTGGAGCTGGAAGCGTCGGGAAGTAGTTTTAGACGTGACACGAGTTTTGTTGTTGTTGGAAATTTTAAACATTTGAGTAATTTAGATAATAATGGAATTTTTGAAATACTTTGTTTTATTTATTTTGTAATATTTAATATTAATAATTTTGTAATTTAATATTAATAATTTTGTAATTTAATATTAATAATTTTGTAATATTTAATATTAATAATTTATTATGTAAAGATGAACGTGTTTTATATTTAGAAAGCAAAGTTTTATAAAAGAATTTGACGTTTTGTAAGAGACTCTTTTGACGTTTGTCTAAGAGAAAGGTTATGGATATTTATGCATAAATGGAATATCTGATTTCTTTTTAATACAATATATTTGATAATACAGAGAAGTATTTGCATAAAGAGAAAATGTACGAGAAATAAATAAAGAGAAGCAAAGAGAAATGTTTATATTTTCATCTTTAGAAATTGGTAATAGAAAATTATACAGAAAATAATAAAAATATTATGTTATTTCATAATAAATAAAAATATTATGCTATTTCATTAGAAATAACAAAGATTTATTGAATAGCATAATCTAGATATTTACAAAAGTTGTGCCAGACTCTTCTTTACGAGATCTGAAAAATTTTCTTTATGACGAACGAAGTCTGCAATTTTTAAAATTTTTAAATCTAGATCTATAAGACGTATAGTATCTCATAAAAAATTTATCAAACAATTATTAACCTTTATTACCAATCTATTCGAATAAAGAAAGAGATTGAACAAAGATAAAGTTTTTTTAAGAATCTTCACAAAAGTTAATGGAGACCAAGCACTTTCCAGTTAAAATTATCACGGATTCTCATCCAAACGAACGAACACATAACAAATTCATGTATCGACTCGTGCAAACAACCTGTCCAAGCCATATTTAACTCTTCTAAATAAAATATTTTTCGCGTGAATCATGTTTATTCTTAGTTAACTTCTACGGAAATTAAATACACTTGACGTTGACGTGTGTTTGTTAACATATTTTGAACTTCGGTCATTTGCTTTATTTCATTCGTCCCTGTTCCGTTAACACCAAGCTCTAAAATTCAAAAGCAGGCGGGGAACGCCGAAAAATCGGGTCTCGGCGACGTCTGATCCTGGTCTTAACCGTCATTAAACGCGACGCGAGTACTTACTTCCGACAGGCAGTTTCGTCTCGTCTCGGCTCGGCTCGGCTCGAAATCGTTACAGTCCCCGATTCTCGAGCCGCTGATTATTCCGTGCTCTAACCTTTCGCTGGTGGCGCGCGTCGTCTGGACGTCTCTATCGTTTTCTCTCCCTGCGCGTTCGGCGTTCTCCCTTTCACCCCGGGCGCGCGGCGTTCGCGGAGCATCCCCCGGAGCGTCGAGTTTTAATTACACATATTTTTTGTGCGAGCCGCTCTCGAGGCTCGCGGTATGCGCCAGAAGGGCCCTACACGACGGCGACGTGAATATTCTGAATTTTGACGGACGCTCGACGCTTCTGGCATTGCCATCTCGACGCCGAGCGACCGCGAAATCTCGTTTCCCGCTCGTCGCGAAAAACCATCGAGGGGATCGCCCCCTCCCCCTCGCGCTCCAACCCTCCTGTCAAACGTAAGCTCTTTCGGCAAGTGCGAATATTTCAGTCAGCACGAATCGTTACGTCGACGATTTATAATTTGAATTGTCTGAGATTAAAGCGACCGACGGAAACTCTTTGGGGAAATAGTTGTATCTTAACTCCTTTGCGCTGGCAACTGGCTCGCGGACCATAACGAGTGACCGAACCGTATATTAATAATTCGTTGCTTTCTTCTGGAACACGATAAATTTTATTATATATATAAAATACGTAATATTCCATATCTTCTTAATTTTAATATTACTGAAGCTAAAATTATTGAACTGAAGAAAGAAGCTTCAACATAAGCTTTTAATAATCATCCATGAATTATATAAATAAATTTAAAATTGTTAATATCTAAAGTATTTAATATTTCTAAAATTAAATTTAATAGATTAAATAATAAATATAATAAAGGTGAAGAAAATACTGCATTAAATAAAAAGAAGAATTAAAACAAAATTCGCCATACTCTCGTTTTATAATTATACAAAAAATTAATAATAAACTTGATTCAAATATAAAATAAAATAATATTAAATTTATAGAAAAAAATTATATATATTAAAAATATTAAAAGTAAATTTAATAATAAACAATAATCTTTTAAATTAATAAAATTTAAATTTACAATAATAATCCTAATAATTAAAATCAAAACAAAAATGATTGAGAAGTAACAAATTTATTATTTATTTTGCCTATTTTGTTTTGCTTAAATATACTTAAAACTGAGAAAATATAACAGTTTTGGAACAAAACATTCCAGCGTCATTCCAGCGCAAGAGGTTAATTTTATTCTGACGATATAAATAAATCTTTCTTCTACGCTTGCGCATTGTTAATTCTTTTTTTCCTTTGCGTCTTTCTGTTATTATATTGTTTTTCTTTCTGTATTCTTTGTGGATTATTCTAATTATTTTTAATTTGAAGGATAGGTAAATTTTTTTTCTCTTCGCATCGTCTTACTTTGTAGGTATATTACTTCATATGTAGAAATGAAGAGTAAAAAGATGTTCATTGATAAAACGCAACGACTTTGCTGTGATACTAAAAATATCGTTTTACTAATCTAATCTAAATTTTGCGTTCAGATTATTAGAACACAATTTCGTAACACTTGTTTCATCAAATAATTCCATTTTATATCTTTATATTTGATCCACATTTATTGTTATCATAATAAATACTATACAAATTTATTCAGATATTATTATTATACTATTATATTATATTACACAATATTAAACATACACCTACATTCATTCTAATTATCAACAATTATAAAAAACTAGATTTAAGCACAATGTCCCTTCAGAAAGGAAAAGTATTTAACGTTAAGTTGCGCTGGCAACTGATTGCGGACCGTAACGAGTGACCGAACCGTATACAATAATTCGTCGCTTTATTTTTGAACTCGTCGGTATGATATCACTGGATAGGAATTATTGAGAAATAATGAACTTATTCGTTTTGCCTGGATTTACATTTAAATATACTTAAAACTGAGAGAATGTTGCAATTTGGGACAAAAAATTCTCGACGTGCGCAAAAAAGTTAACTCCTTTTCTATGAGACTTGGAAGTGTTCCCAACGCAGGAAAAAATATGCACGTATACATTATAAGTAGATTGCAGATTTTTATATATCTGTGTGAGAGGTTTAAAGATACAAAATTGCGCAAAGTGTATATAATATGAAAAAAAATGTATAAAGTATACAAGTACAACAGTTTATGTTAATATGTAATTATAATGTTTCTATGTTATTTTTTACTTTTTATAATGCTGATAAAACAATTTCCTACCCAGATTAAATTTTCCTAACTATATCTCAAAAATATGATTTTTCATAAAAGTCTAATTATAAGATATTCCTTGTGTAAGATGCGTGGACATACTTACATGAATGTAAAAATGATCTTACGTTACAGAACACGTTTACTTACTCTATATGAGTATTGCAAACAATTACTTGTAACTCAAAGATTAAAGAAATGTTAAAACAACCCTGAGGATAGAAATTTTTATCGATGTACATATGTATGTATTTCATTCGCCAATAAAATTTTTTTATAATCGAGATTTTAAGCTTAATATAATTATTACATTTTAGAATTTCTGAATGTGAGCCACGTATGATAGAAATTATAACTCGACATTTTTTCAGTAATTGGAAGAGCAGTTGATTGATAATGAATAATGATTACGATATTCTTTTATTTTTTAAATTCGAGAATTATTAATACGTCTATTAAATATTTAAAAAATGAAATATCTATGCCCTTTCTTATCCTTCATTTCTTTTTATTAATTTTATATTTATATTTATAAATCTTATAACTTAGAATATTCTCCTCTATTTGTATACTATATATTATAATAAAATAGTAATCTTCTTCATTATGAACACAAATTAAATATATATATATATATAATAACAAATACACGTCAAAATCCGGTGTATTTAATTTCTGAAGAAGTTAACAAAAATTATAATAAAAATAAACATGATTTACACCAAAAATATTTTATTTAAAAAAATTAAATACTCTGAAGAAAAAATTTTTATTTTTGTCAACAAATTCGTTCTCTAAACTTTCCTCTCGCATAGATCGTGATTTGGATCATATCCTTTTGGTGGCAGGTACGTGCACAATTCAAATTATGTTATGCACAATTTCAATAAAGCTCTTAATTACACAAAACTGCAAAATTAATAATGGAATCAGTTTGAAATAAATAATGGAAAATCGTTGTTATGTCACAAATTTATTCTCTCTCCTTGTTTCGTATTGAATATATGAAACAAAGGACATTCTCGTTATACAAAACCCGCGATTAACAATAATCCTCGTGCCTTGCACATATTTTTAAAGGAATTAGTTAACAACCGTAATTAAGGAACATACGTGAGACGTGTTCGCAGTCTAAATGAAAAAAAACTACCTTCTGTGTGGTTTATTTGCTGCACATCTGTAGCATAGTATACATACATATATTATATTACTAGGTAGGTTATCATAAGCAGTGGCTGTAAGTCTCTTCAGTAATAAAGCAACGTATGAAGATACACGTATTCGCGTACTTCAAAGTCTTATTGCAATATTTCAGTAATCGAGAAAGTTAAAAGACTTTTAAACAAGTCCTATCTGAAACATAGATCGTAGAACTTTTTCGAAAAGTGTTTTTACGTCACTCATTATAACCGAGACAACGAAGTTAAATAAATAAATGCACTTAAATATAAAAGTTCCACACAGAACTTATGAAATGTGAAAATAAAAATTTTCCTGTCGGAAGGA